AAAAAGTCCAACCCAAAACCGATCCGGTTGATCCGATTGCCACCTCTAATTATAAGCTCATTGGGAACATTCTTTGGCCCATCTAAAGTGTGGCAGCGGATTGGATCCATGGCCTACAAGTTAGAGTTACCTCTTTGCTGCAAAAAATGTACCGAGTAACATTTTTTATTCCTCATTGAAGCTATTTGAAGAGGATCCTTCTTTGGTCATACTTAATATTTACTCATTTGTGAATCTGCGGGGGAAAGCCACTAGAACTCTCTCATGCCTCAACTACCAATCATGGCTTTGAAATTTTGGTGAGATAGAAGATTTATCCTTCATGATAAGGTTACATCAAGGATTGATATGGAGCCCTCTCCATTTGCTAAGCTCAAGGATGAGTTTACGATGAGTGTTCAAGATGAGGTACCATGGTGTATGTTGCTTGCAAATGATATCCTGTTAGTTGATGAGGCCAAAAAGGGATAATGCCAAACTAGAAATATGAAACAAGAGGTCAAATAACCGATAATTACGACAAATCAAAGTAAAATGAAGCATCTTAGGTGAAAATTAAACACTATATAAAAACAATCTGGCTCAAATTAGATGAGAAAGTCAGATTTTTTAGAACATGGTTAAAAACGATCTGTATGAAAAATAGAGATAGTGGTAATGATGTGACACATAGGAATAGGATCAATGCAGGTTGGATAAAGTACTTCGTGATTGTAATGTACTAGCAAAATTGAAGGGAATTTTTTAGAGGCTGCCAATCTACCAGCATTATAAAAATGGAAATGTTTAATGAAGATGAAATGTGACAAAGGTGTGCATGTTAAGACGGATGTGTGGAAAGACTAGGAAAGATGGATTTCACAACAATTAGGTACACATGAAAGTGGGATAGCAACTATTGAAAAAGGTAAGGGATAATAGAATGGTTGTTTAGACATGTTTTCCATTTAAGACTACAGGCCAGTGAGCCATAGTACACAAACTGGACTACTGGACTGATGAAGGTTTAAAGTGGAGATATGATCAACTGAAGATTACATCATTTTGGGTGTACAAAAACCATCAAGGGTTGGGGCTTAATAAGCAAATGATGCATTACAGAAAAGATTACCAAATGAAGATATCCATTGATGACCTCTGGGATTATCTATTCGTTCATGTAGCGACCTTGGTGATTTGAGATTAAAGCAATTTGGGGGGGGGGGGGGTAGTTAACGAAATTGAGCACCAGGGATATTGTATATTGAATTTAACTTTGAAATAGGTGCTGTTTTCTTGACCTTTTACTTTTTAAATCCTGTATATGGCATTTTCTGTAGAAGAGTCCAAACAGTGCTGTGTGCTTTGCTATCCTTCTTTGAGTCAGTTGCATGTCTGAAAGACTGAAACATTGAGACAAGCTTTTCCAAATTCTAGCCCATAATGAAAGCATGACATCATTTTTCGAGCAGAACAATTAAAGGAAAAAAAACAGCACATGTAAAATGTGGCTTTATCACCTTATGTTGGTATGTATTTTCGAAAAATGTTTCTTGATTTTAAATTTAAAACTTTCAAGTGCAGTGTTTTCTCAAGGTATGCTATCCACAGCTTGCCTTCAATTTTGATTGTTAATCACACTAAAGTGTTGCGGTATCATGGCCAGAAAGATCTGCACTCGCTTGTGAGATACTACCAGGAATCTACAGGTCAGTCTCTTCCACTTGCAGACTTTTACTGTTTAAAGGCATAGTTAAAGTGTGTTTCCTTCATGTGGTAGTGGGATGATCTTCAATGGTAGAGGTGGTGGTTGACTTGTCTTACTAGGTTTTATTTGTACTTTTTTGAGGGGATGGAGTCTGAAATAGCATGTCCATGATGTATAACATTGTCTTTATATCCAGGGTTTCATCCAATCATTAATTTGAATGAGAATCAAAAGCATGTAGAGAAAGCACCAGAAAATTCCATGATATGGACCAGAACCTCTCTGCAAGAAACGTTCAGAACAGACCCATACTTGGTGCTTTCAGTTGCATTTGTCCTATTAAGGGCTATATTATACTTCTTCCCGGGGATGGCATCTCATGCCATGGCATTGTGGGCTGCATATGCTCCTCATCTCAACATTGCCATTTTTGGAGGGTCGAGGCAGCTTCTGGGGCACGTCCTCCACTTGATTGATGTCAAGAGGATATGCAGCAGGCTAAAGCTGTGCAAAAATGGCAACTTTCACCAAGGGGCTCGGAGTGCCCGAGTTTGGGCTTCATCCCTCACTTCTGTTTCACTTGGGGAAGCCTCCTCGTGAACTCGTGAAGATTGACTGTCCCCTTCTCTGGTTAAAGACTTGCAAACAAGCAGTGGAGCAGGAGCTGCCTCGGCCGGCTATTGAAGAATTGAGAATCTGAAAGATCGCCGAAACCACGTTCTAAAGTATGTAGGTTTTTTTGCCTTTTCAACTTCTTGTTAATCATTGTTGTGGGTCTGCTAAACCATTTGTTTTCGATAAAGCACTAGTACACGAAATATTCTGTTGTGATTTGGAGTTGGAGACATACCGCAGTCATGTAAATTTTTGAGAAATCACTTCCGTGTATATTTTTACAATCATGGTAACATACTCACAAACTTGCCACTAGGATTGAACCTGGAGTAGATCATAATGAGAACTGTGTTTCAATGGACTAATGCTGTCATGTTTTCTTTGTTTTCCTTGTCATTCATTCCTATGCTTGTTGGCATTGTTGTGTGCATCTTGTTTTGTGTCATCTAGAAATTGTGTGTGGTGCAGCCAGTCACTCCAAAAGTATCCTCTTATCAATTGAAATTTGGTACTCTCCATCCCTTATATAAACACTTTCATTTTTAAAAGTTACGCTAACATTTTTCTTCCGCCGCTTCTCTCTTCTATCTAAAATGTCTTCTTCTTCTACTTCTCTCTAAAAGCAATCTCCGCTCTCCTTTCCGTCATTCTTTTACAGTTTTAACTTCATCAATCATCAGTGACTTTTCTTTCTCACAATCGCAACTAGTTTGTCTTTCTCAGGTTAACTCTATTCTTCTCTTTTACATATACTCTAATGATTCAATTCATTCCTGAATATAAATATTGAGATGTTTTTTTTTTGGGTATACGAGCTTTTGAATAATTACTTCCAAGGGTTTTAAATTCTTGATTAGCATATGCATTCATTCTCATGTTTAATCTGTTACATGTTTAAAAAAAAAATTAAATTTGAATTCCAATCCAAATAAAATTTGGAAACTCAAGTTGTAAGAATCACGAAAAATCCTTTGTTAAAAGAAGAATTCCTAATTACATCGGATGGAAATCGCTTTTTTGGGGCGTTTACCCGATGAACTCGGTACCGGGTCGGCACCGCACCGCATAGCGAAATCCGGGAAATCAATAAATAAATAAAGTGGAGAGAAAACATTTATTCGTGGAAACCCAAATCGGGAGAAAACCACGGGCCTTTTTAGGCGATGTCATGTCAAGGGGAGAAACTTTTATTAATATCGGGAGAATTTACATATATACTCCGTATCATTGTTGGAGCTTGGAGCCATCAATGGAACTCCAAGTTTAAAGAAGAAGAAGGAAGAATAGTAATATGAGCTCCTCCCTCCTCTCCTCTTTGTAGCTTCCCTTTAATAATGAGAAGGGGTGAAGCATATCCCTTGTGTGCGGGCCCTCTCTAATTTGTTTTGTAGTTTTGGTGGAAGATAAATAAATATGATCAGATCCTACTAATATTATGTACTCGTATATATCTTTGGGCCCCTATATATATTTATATATCTCATCAAACTATATTCTTCGTCTTCATATCTCTGACTCCGTCTCGAATAATTTATCTGATTTATATATTGAACCAGATAAAATTGGGTTAGTAATATACTCTTCAAATAATATTGGATTAATTAAAATTCCTAATCCATCAACATCCTCTTCTAAGGCTCTGAGCTGCTCCTTTTTTAGTTCCTTGTATTTGCCAATATTGCCATTATTTTTCATATGTGTATACATCGATATATGAGCACTATCTTTTAGGATTCTATTACTAAATTGCCCCAACTTTTAAATTCGCATTTTTTCATGTTTTACTATTCTTCACTGATTTGAGAGTATGAAATACATGTGAAAAATATTTCAGGGTAACAATTTGGCCTATTTCCATTTCGATGGTTCATTGATTGGAAATTGTTATTATAGTAGGATCCTGACTCATGAGATTTTGGTAGATTTTTCAGAAAAAAATAGTGTCATTATAGCTTATGTAGCTTGATAATTCATAAATTCTTAACATAAAATATCAGTTGTGAGATTTATTAGAATCAAGTTATGAACCAATTAGAGCATATATGATGTAAAATCAAACGGTCATGCTTGGAAGTGAGACTTCTGTCAAACCTCCTAGAGAATATTACTGAAGTACTGAGTGAAAGTTCAAAATATTCGAGAAAAAAGTCAAAGAAAAATCCCTAAGTACACTTTTCTAGTGTGGGATCACTTTGAGAAAGTAAGAGATTCTCAAGGTGCGTTACAGATGGCAAAATGCATACATTGCAAAGGTGTGTGGGGTGCTCATTCTCAAAGGCATAGTACTACTAATCTAAGAAACCATGTCCCTCTATGTAAAATGAATCCAAACTTTCTACTTAAATCATTATTTCTATAACTAATCCTTTCCATTGTCTAAACTAGGGATTTGAGGCATCAAAGATGAAGGGCATAATGGAATCTAATTCTCGGACAAAGGCACTGTGTAACGTTCTGGCGCCAAATAAGAAGTGTTATATTTTATATTTTGATGTATAATCAAAGTGGTTACTTATGTTAGACATCCTGACGTGCATGTGAATTGTGATGAAACTTTCGTAGTATTATCATGTTAAATTGTTAATTATGCTGATTGAATTGTGATGGATCTTTCTAAGCAATAATTATGTTTTCCTATGCTCATGTATTTTGTCACTGACGTTTTGAGAAGTACAAAATACTCCGTATTTTGACATCTATGAAATCCTTCAACGATAGATTTGATTTTTATCTGATCAGGTTGATACCCAGCCCGGCCCGTCAAAACCACAACCCGAATGATCCAAACCCACATCCAACCCGGTGAATAACGGGCCGGATCACAGAATTTATGATAACTAACCCGCAACCTTGTTGGGTTGCCCAATGAAGTGCGGGCTGGAACCAAATCCGACCCGTGCACACCCCTGGGAAACACATCCCGTATCTTCCTCGTCATATTTTTGTATTTCTTTGGTGATAATTTCTCTGCAAAACAAGCAGTGTATACAGCTTGACATTGTGCATTACACTGACACTACTACACCCGGAATGCAATGGCCTTGAAAGATAAGGACTTGTTTTCATCTTAGTAAGAGAGCATGATTGACAAATGCTAAATTAAAACAGGACTAACCACTTTACAAGCAAATCTTCCTTACAATATTTCAAAACTGTTGCTGAAAAAGCAACTTAAATCTGCAATATAAACGCTCTACGATCACCAATTAGGCATACTTCCTACCCTTTGATTAATATTCATTTTTTTCCATTTTCGCCGTTCATTTACACGATTAGATTCTATACTCTTACAGCATCTACTCATGTACACACCTTCCCATCCCCAAGAACTCTCTTTGAGAGAACATCAAGTTTTGACGGAAATGGGAAAGGAAGCTATTATAGGTACTTTGTGTCTCACCTTCCTGTGGATTGAAGAGCATCATCAGCACGGCATACAAAACGACCTTCTAAGAATTAGGGCTAAGGCTGAACAGCTCACTTTTAGGGGATGAGGCACACCAGCTGCTTCTGCATGTCTGGCATCAACAAGGCCTGCAAAAAAAATGACATGAATATTTAGTGTGAACAGGCACACACAAATTGTTTTAACTCTATCTGATTGTACTTTTTCAGTGATTTTTTTTACAACACTCAGTTTCAAAGGGCAGGAAATGGGGAGGGTGTGCGTACACACACGTTACACTACTTGAAAGTAGCCACTCAAAAAGAAACACTTTCTCATCCACCTAAAAATTCTTAATCTGATAAACCAGAACCAAAACCAATTCCAAAAGCCCAAATGCATATACGCTGCCAAGAAGAAAAGTATATGTGCGGTGAATTCAAGAACAAAGGTATAAAGTAACTAGATATAATCAGAGGAAGAACCTTACAGTGTAATCTGTGTCACGCATATTTGTCATTAACAGCTGCCGGGCATGAAATGCTCAGAGGGACATACCAAGCAAAATCTTCTTTAAAACCCGTTGACTGGACCATGCACTCTATAAAGCTTCAAGTAACACTGAGGCCTTTGTAAATACATTGAGTACAAAAGGTGCCTCTTCACCGGGGTGTATAGTTGTAGGCACAATTGTGTAACCTTTTGGATCGGGTTCCAACACCATCTCACACGAAATTTCTCGAGAGTTTACATAATCTGTTCCACCAACAGATTCATGCATATAAATGTTGTAGGAAGCTCGCCGGCCACGGGTCTTTAGAATCCTCATCCCAATGTAGAACAACATGGAATCATGGCTGGACTGATAATTTCTGAAACCAGCAGCTGTCCTTGAAAAGCTCACACCCTAATACAATAGCAACTTCTTTAGAGCTTTGTGTGTATATCAGCATGTGTGAGTTATTAGACACACACATGGATCTAAATGTTGGGAAATGAAGAAAGATTTGATGAACTTGAAGTGGCCGATATGTGTATGTTACAATAGATGTGCAGTAAATCTAACAAAGAGGGTGTGCCAAGGAAGATCCCAGGAATGTGGGGTAGCCGCTATTGGAGATGATGCGAGAATCAGTTGTTTTGGTTCAAGGACATCAACTGCCTATGAATCGGTGAATCAGTATGATACATGGGTTTAGGAGCATGGAAGACTTAAAAGAAGTCAGAGTAGACTGAAGATGACTTGAACTGGACATCTAAGGAGTCCCGGGCGTTGGGGCTTAATAAGCATAATAGATTTTCTATTAGTTCATGTAGCCAGCCCATTGCATATTTCTTAAAGTTTGGGTGGTGTTGTTGGTGGGGGGGGGGTCAAACAACGTTACAGCGCACATACATAGTTCTCTATATCTAATAAACAGAAGTTAGAAGTTAAACCCTACCTGAGTTAAGGTAATGAAAACGTGAATGGGCAAAGAAGCATCGGGCCCTCTGGCCTTCAGACAGAACTGCGGGTTCTGATGCCAAGTATCATAATCCTGGCAGCCGCCAGCACTACAACCTCGCCACTGTCCATGAACAGAATAACGCATTTCCGGTGGATACACACGACAAACATAAATAGACCTGAAATGTATTTGAAAATCTTGCCAAGACATCCAGAATATGCCATCTTTTGCCTGTGTTCAACATTAATCCACGAAAAGACTTGTAATTCTTGAAAACAAAATGAAGTTATTTATATCACACTACGAACCAAGTACTTACAATAAATATTAAATACAACAAATAGAAACAGCTACCTGGGGGACATGTTTGAGCTTGTGTTTCATCCTGTCTGTCCATTCAGGTGATGAATCAGACCAAGGACCATTCCACTCAACCTCATTTGCCCATGGATTTCTGATCTGAACAAGTTTATAACCATCTACTTCTCGTACCTTAAAAGACACATGCCAAAACAATGAATAAAAAATGCACAATTAATTCTTCCTTTGATGCCAAAAATAAAAGGTTCCAGTCATGTATGTACTCTGTCCCATAATTAAATTCACTCTTTGACTTATAGAGTTTAAGAAAAGTGTTTTTTAAAAGTTCTAAACAAGATAAATCTAATGGAACAAACAGGGACGGAGGTGGTATTTGATATACCTGCAATATTGAGTAGGCATGTCCTTGAACAATACCACTCGAAGAAATATGCACATCTGAACCTGAAGGACTACCAGCACCAAGTAGAAAACCTTCTTGATTGAACCGTAACACTTGAGACCATAATCTTCCACTAGCAAGATCGATCTGTGCTTCAGTACTTCTCATATCAATTTCCTCACCAGCGCCCCCAGTGAGATCAACAAGAGCATCTTGGACAAGTCCACCTTCCAATGCCTCATACGAACCATGAAGCTTAGCATAAGCTTTCTCCAAGATGGAGACCCACAGTTCATTTTTCTTCTTGCTGGTGGCAAATGCAGGTTTACCAGGTGACTCACAGGGAATCCAATCATCAATAACAACAGGAACCCATTCCCCCTGAATGGACAAAGCCAAAAGTGTGCATGTAAAAAAAAGTCATCAAACAAGAGTTCTTCAAATGCCATACAGTAAAATGGAGAAATTGACCTAACATTAGGCCAGAAAATAGTGAAAACCACCAGGAAAACACCGTGTGAAATATGTAAATGTTTATTCACTTGCATTCCATAATTATATCAGGTGAGCTCTATGTCTATATATAATCGTTTACACATATAAGTTAAGAAAATATAATCATTAGGTGATGCCATTACGATGATGTCACCCCAACAAATTCATATGTTCGGAAAGTCCTAATCTCCAAGGAAGCTAGATCTTTACTTCTCTAAATAATTTTACATATATGAACGATGGCTCACCTGGATACAGAAACGAACTGTGTAAATTCCTTCCTCATTGTATTCAGGTGTAATTATAACTTCCGATATTCGTGAAACCTCAGTTAAAACAGCAACTGCACTCAGAAACCAACAATCACCCAGTCGTCCCTGAAATGTTATAGTGGCAACATTAATATGGTAATATACACATACAAACAAAATAAGTGATTTGTCCATGGAGAGGAAATTGTAGGGGAAAGTCCAAAGAAAGACTTCGGAAATAGATTAAGATCACAAGTTTTATATAGCAATACAGCATAACTATTTATTTTGTTTGCAAAACCTGGCAAACGTCTGAAGAATTTGCTGCTCCAGAAAACAGGCATGGACCAGAAACAAGCTGATTCTCTTCAACTATTTCAATGGGCCTCATCCATGCAGCAACAACCTTCAAACAAAATTTATTGTGAGTGCTGCCAAAGTAGGTTTGTACGCATATGCCATGCTCCAGAAAATGAAAACCATGCCCAAAAAATCCATTCCAAATTGTTGCCAGTGCAACTCACCTGCAGTTTTGAAGGAGGGTTATCTGGATCAAGAAATAATGAGCGATCACCAGGGGGGAATTCTTGATCTGTGAATTGGGATTCTCCTCTTGCCAATAGAGCCTCCTTCACAGCCATTTCAACTGAGCGCATGCGTTGATTCATTTCTTCTTGTGTCTCCAATGATGGTTTCCTCAACCTTCTCGTAAAAGAATCAACATCCAATACGACACCATCCCGTTCAGATCTCCTTCTCCTCCCACTTGAATACTGTCCATCCCAATCCACATCATCTCTGTCATAAAGGTCAACATCTGCAGGGTCGCTCTCCCAGTCATCAACCTAAATGAGAGAATATAAGAGATCCAAATAGATTAATGACAGAGAAATGAATGCGTAGGCGTTTTATTTGTAAAAATTGAAAAATGGGCATGTGGAAGAAATTGCACTATATGCAATATACAATTTTTGGACATAGAACACTGACCCTAGTTGGAGAGTCCGTCCATTGAAAATTATCATCTAATAGATTGATCATATTATACTCCGCAGTAACAACTGCACCAGGAAGAGTGGCAATCTCATCTTCAGTTAAGCACCTTCCCCAAAGAAATACATCCATTATCTGCATCTTAGAATCAGCTGCTTCACTATCCGACCTCCCAAATGCGTCAAGATCAATAGGTGGCCGTATACCCACCCAAACCTCTGTTCCTTGCTCCCATATGCAACTACCAGTATGCAGTGGTAGCCCTGTCTGATAGCCATCAAAATTACCATCTAGATAGCAAGATACTTCCCCTAAATCAGCATCTACAGTCAATGTAACTATATGCCACCTGCAAAGTAATTTCTCTTCGGATCAGGAAAATATGAATTCAACTTCTAGCCAAGATAAGAGTACAGGAGCAATGAACTACAGCGGTAGTCTGACACACCGATATATTCTTTAAAAACTTGAGAGATTTGGTGTTACCATCAGCAAGCTATTGGTACTGACATGGCGTTCAAGAAGCAACCCTACAAGTAAAAGAATACACACCTTCCATCAGCAATGTTGCTCGCACCCACACTCCACTCCTTTGAGACTGTTGTTTGTCTATCACCCTTGGTAATTAATCTAAGTCCAACTTGTCCAGCTTCAATGCCTTGCTCAGACCCAGCAACAAGAAACTCCCAGCATATCTTCTTCTGCATTTCAGAACCCAAGAGACAAACTGGTCCCGACTCCAGCTGCACCATGACAGCAATAGAAACGCTAACTCTATTACTACAACAAACACTGAGATCCATGGTTCCACAATGTCTGCCGCTGGTAGTAGGCTCATCATCAAGAATACATACAGCACCACTAAGTCCAGTCTGCAACAAACATGAAAAATCAGAAGATAAATTTAACATATCAAATCAAAATCCAGAAGAGAGCATGCCAAGAAGTAAAGATGTGGCTCACGAAATTTTTCCATTATCTAAACAAATTCCGACCATATACTTTTTACCTTTCAACAGTTTTCTTAAACACCATGAAAGTCAAATTAGATAATGCTTTTTGGGACAGAGGGGGTATTACCATTGTTATCACATCGTCAAATTAATATGCACTAAGGGCAGAACAGAGCCATGGGACTGGCATATTTTGATGTTTGGTAACCGATCATTAGTGTCATACATGGAGACGTTTATTGATTAGAAACAACCAAAATGCAAAAACCAGTGTCCCTTGTGCCAACCCAACAAATTAACTATAAAGTTTTTAACAAAGACACATAGAAAGAAGAGAAACTAAAGTGCATAAAGAGAGACAGAGCGACGAAGCATAGCAAAGCCTAGTTTTGCCGTTGTTGACCCTCCACAGCTGCCAGACATAACCACCATTGTGAGACATCACCACAACTACCGCCATACACCACTACAAATTTTTAGAAGTATGTTTTCTCTCTTTTCTTATAATTCCGTTTTACTTATTTTCTTTTCCTCTTCTACTGCATATTTAATATTTTTTTCAAGTTGCTACTGCATATTCAAGTTTTGATAGTTGCTACCGCATGTTTGGCTGTTTCCGCCAACTGCGTTTTCTTTGTCTTCTTTTACTGTCAGCTGCCTTTTCTTTCAGTTTTCTGTAACATGGCATATTTAATATTTTGCTAGCTGCCAGTTGCTAGTTTTAATGCTAATATATTCTTTTAGTTTTCTTCTCCTGCCTATTTTATATTTCTCTGCTACTCCGTACTCACTACTGCCTTTTCATTTGTAACATGTTACTGTTCTTAGTAATTACACTTGATTATTACACTTATTGTTTCATTTCAGAAAAACAGATGCATGGTTTGTTACCTAGTGATCTATTTTGTGTTGATTTTAGATATATGCATTGGGTGTATGAGGCTTGGTTTTATTTAATACTCCCTCCATCTCATAAGAATGGTATCTTCACTCTTCACATGACCAAACCATATCTTATTTCCCTCCCTATTTTCGTTAATCATTTGTTACAATAACATGGTCAATTCACATCTTGTTATATTATTTAATTTTAAACAAATATTTACATAAATTGAATTGAAAATAACTTCACTCAAGTATCGTAACCCAATACTTGACTAGTATTATGGGACAGAATACGTGGATATTTGAATTTTTGAAATACAAGAATATGATACGGAGTAATCGATATGTCAACTTATCAACTAATTGTCAACTAGTTGGCTCACTGGCTACTCTATTGACATGTCAACATGATGAACTTACCATGAAAGAGTACTGATAGGAGAAGGTAACATAGAGAGTACATGTTCATATTGAAGACCCCCATAAACTAGAATTATTGAGAAAATGATAACCTGGAGTGCTCTCCGAGATAACTGGCCTGCACGTATATGGCGTGCAATGCTTGAAACTCTCTCACGAGCAAAAGAATCATCAAGAACTGAATCACCACCAACTGCACGAACAGCAGCTGCAACTGCTGCTGCTTCTCTGTTGCCAGCATTGGGAATAGATGACATAAGAGAAGCTTCTATCTCTTTCCATTTGCGTTCTTCTTTCTCCAGAAGAGCTCTCCTCCTCTCTTTACCCCTTCCTTCCTCTTCGCGTCTCTGCATCAATATTTCTTCTTCCATCTCTTTCTCTCTAATATAACTACACATAGATTTACAAACTTAACAACTTATTTCACTATGAGACCGGAAAAGGTAACAGAAGCAACATTCCTATATACCTCTCTTGTATAAGTTCAAACCGCCTATGTTCCTCTGGTAGCCACTTTTTGATATCCTTAGCACTGAGATCTGGCAATCCTATGCTGTCGAGGAAAAGTCTTAAACGAACCTCATCCTGTAAAAGAAGAAGGTTAGCATGAAAAAGGCTTCATGTGCTGTGTGATAGAATGCTTAAGCATTTATACCTGTACACGTTCAGCTTTAGCCGTCAAACCAAGTAAAAGAAGTAAATAACCACCAAACTTATCCCACATGTAAACCCATTCAGTGTCAATTGCTTCTTCCAGAGCTAGTATTCTGGCATGAGCACACATTTCTCTTTTGTGACCTATATCAGTTATAGCTTCGTGCCGCAGGGTCTTATTTCTCAACCTAGACATAAGAGATCCAGCAGCTAATTCTTCATTTCTCAAACGATCTCTTAATTTCATGACATCAGCCCTAGGAAGTACAAAATTGCCTCCTTTATCTCGAATTACAGCAGGATCCCCAACCAAAAGAGCAGCTGAGCTGGCAGACCTCTGGGGAGCAGAGTAAGTTCCAGATAAAGCGTTTCTGGTCTGAATACAAAACATACTTTTAGGTTAGGAACAGGCAGTTAAATTTAAAAGTATGATATCGCTTTTTAAAAATCTGACAATTTTTTTTTAAAAATAAACATATCGTAAAATTAAAAATAGTGTACTATATTTAAATGCAAATCTCATTATATTTAGTTCTTATTTTGATAACAAAGTATATTTTGTTATTTAAATATCAACGATTGTGTTAACTAAAAAAATACAATACAATTAAATCTTATATGAACTTAATTTCTCTAAAGAACATTACTTCGTCCAAAATAAATAAACTAAATGAGATGATGTAAAAGTGATTTAATCGTAGTACTCTGTATTATTTATGAATATCAATACAAATAACCTTCTTTTATTTGCATGGTGTAAGCTCAAGTTACAAAATAAAAATTAAAAAAACGGTCCAATCAGTCCAAACCAAAGACCTACCAGACCGGACCTGACAAAAGACCAACTGTGGGCATTTTGGCAGAACGAAGGACATGATCAAACTAGATTGGTCCTAGTTGGGTTGGTCTGGTCCACTTTGGTCATTAGGCTACTCCAGTCTTGGATCGAGATTTGCACACCTCGATTTTTTATCCCAAAAGGGAGGAAGTAAAAAAGTAGCATCACTTATTATAAAGCCGAGTTGTTAGCAGAAGTAGAGCACCTTGGTGGCAGACCGAGCTATTGCCTGGACTACAGTTTCCTTACTAAGAAAGTGAACAGCATCTTCAACCATCTGGCGTTTCAGAGAATGCAGTAAGTTGCATGTAAAAGATAGTACAAGCTAAAAACATTTATGTCATATTAAATAGATTCAAGATCAAATAAGTCACAATTTATAAAAAAAAAAACCTTTCATATGGAGAAAGGACAATAGAAATGTCATTAGTGCAAGTAAGAAAGCAACTATATTCTGAAAAGGTCACCAAGAGGTACTATAACATATTCAAAGTTAGTTGTAAAGGAGGCACAAAAGTCAAGGAGATAGAGAAGAACCATTCCCTGCAAAAATCTTTCTCAAAGCCCAAAAATGTAAAATGGGAAACCAAAAAAAAAAAATCTTCTCCAATGAAACACCGATGCCATTTAATTTGTGTAAAGTCTTCCAAACTCTCCACAACAGCTCAGTATAAACTGAATTTTATCTTGAGAGTCTTGGGGGTCAAGATGTACACAAGCTTACCCTTGCAAAAAACAAAGAGGTTTTTCTCTTAGACCCTGCATGCATTGTTGCATTTACTACCCAGAAATCCATAGAAAGTAAGAGGTAAGGTAAGCTTAAGTGCCATCTTGATTTAGGGTCTGTTTGGAAATGGGAGAAATGACTTCCAAAAGTAATTTTTCCAATTTTCTGATGTTGAGTTGTTCCGAAAAATATGAGTCAGTCGAAAATGAGCCTTATTTGGAAGACTGATTTCTGCTTGTTTTCGACGTTTATTACGTTATAACAACGAAAACGAGTTATGTTTTTCATTTTTCAAACTTCCAACCAAAGAAATGAATTTACGCGATAAATCATTTTCCAGAAGCCATTTTCCATCTTTCAAAACTGGTGCTTGGTCCACTTTTTAATAAAAGCTAAAACATTATCTAAAATGACTCCTTTAAACCATTAGCAATGGACCGTTTTTCCAAAATCCAAACTATCTGTGTGATAGCTAAAACACTGATAATAACATCCTTTTCTTTCGGTTCAGACAACCCCAGCAAAGCCCGAAATTCTCCCAGAAAAGACTTTGAACCAATCCAACACACTCCTAAAAGAGAAGAAACCAGAAACTCCATAACTGCTGAACCTACTGACACAATAAAATATTATGATCAAGAAATCAAGATAAATTGCTAATAAAGCAAATACCATGACTGGAAATACCTCAAGAGTCAAACAAGGGCGAGAGACAGCGAATCCAAAAGCTACAACAAGTGTAATTGCTGAAACAGCAGCTCCAGCAAAAGGTGGATAGATTTTCAAACTTGCAACTACACCCCATCCTTCAATAGCTAATGCAACGCCATAAAGCAAAAGAAATGCACCACTGGGGATAGAAAGTAGAACAATTTGTCAAGTACTTAAATATTCCAAGGAGAAATGATGATAAGAACATGAAATTTTTTTGGATAACATGATAAAAATTCATTAAAAAAAGAGAGAATTCCAACACTTCAGCTTGCAGAGAAGAGTTCAACAAAACCTGACATTTTTCCCACAATCTGCATGTGCATCGTACACATACACAGGTAACACCCTTGGGGAATAGACTACTATAGAAGGTGAAAGGAGCACCTAGAGAAGACAATAAATTACTGAGTTATTAAAGCAAGAAAACATGTCAAGAAGAAATAGGAAGTACATCACACTATGGGAGAGGGCCAACATAACAAGCAAGCCTCAGCCCTAAATTATTATTTCAAGAATGATCAACTTACAGACAATGCCCTTCCAGCTAGTAGGAAAAGAAATGAGAAGTAACCAACGGATGCACCGACAAAGGCCTTGTCTGGAACAAACAAAAAATCCAATCAAGCATTATGAAGCATGCAAATTGATATCGGTCATTATCCGAGGAGTCCTATGGTGATCTGTGAATCATATCGTCACGAGTGATGTATAAGAAAGTGATTTTACCTTGAAACCATCCAACAAGAAAGGATGCCAAAGCCACAAGAAATGCTAGAAAACAAACAACTAGCATCTGCACCCTTGTCAGATAGAAATTATTTGAGGCCCAATAATGAGTTGCACCAATAGCTAGAACTAGGAGGAGGAGAACTAAGAGAAATGTTGCTCCTATCTGTCATAATATGAAGTGAAACTCCTTAGAGATACGTAATAATAAGAGATAAATTAACCAATAGTATTCACTTACCCTCCAAGGTTGCACTGTAACTATGATGGCCGAAATGGCACCAAGCAGAAGAAGAAGACCAATAATAATGAATATATAAGCACCTCGATAAAGCTTCCAGTTATCGTCTTTCCTGAAAATATTTACAATAGAGTTACTCTATATAAGGAGCAGCTCACATCTTACAATTCAAGTACAATGGTTTAGAAGTGTGAAAATGAATCCGAATAAGGTTGTTAAAGATTAGTTGGTTCTGGCAAAAAACATTACCATTTAAATAAACCAGAAGAAAGTGAAAGGACTGCAGGAATGCATAACAGTGGAAGCAATGCAGCCAGGAAGTCTTCCTTCATTGGGACTTGATCAACCCTCAAACTCACAACTTTCAAATACGAGACACTACAAAATCCCACCAGAACAGCTGCAAACAGATATAGTAGAAAGAGTGTCAATCGGCATTTGTGCTGCAGGTGAACTAATGTCAAAGAAAATAACCTGAACATTTTTTTAAAGTGAGAAGGAATCAATTACCTGCAAATATACCAATAGAAATACCAGATGAGAGGGGAAACCGATATGTTGCAAACCACGATATGATGGGTAGCAAGCCACTAGCTAATAAAGCAATTGCAGATGCCATTGCCCAACCAAGGTAAACAGATGATGCATAAGGAGAGGTAACAACATTCTGATCAACAGTCAACCCCTTGTACCCTAAATCGTCTAATGGTTTTGCAGACACTATCACTCCAAGAGCTACAACAGATCCAGCAAATAAAGACATGTAGACGAATAGAACACCCTGCGAAACAAATTCATTCAATTTTCAAGCATGATGTTAGTGAAACCCGTGGGAAATATTGCATATTTGCATGTCTGAATGAACTCTAACAATGGGAGAAGATTCTACAGGAAATGAGAGAAGCCCACAGACATATTTAGAAGAGCCTGCTCACATCAAACACCAATACAGCTATAGAAGATGGTAACCATTTCCAATTCATTAACAAAGCAACCATACATTATACAGTATTAATTAAAGCACCACAACATAATTGATAATACAACAGTTTTACCCGTTTCATTCCCAAAGTTTGATGATTTCCTGCTCCACCTCCATTCTCAATTCTTGACACCCAAAACTGATAGCCATTATGAACCCATATTGGAATTGCAAAAGAGAGGCATGCTACCATTAAAGGCACCATCAAAGAAAATCCCAGAAGTACTGATGATTTGCTGTTAGATGAAATACATGTTACAATTTACTCAAAAAAGAATTATTAGGAATATTTGAGGAAACAAGACATCACAAGGTATAAAACAATGGTATCAGAGCACATTACCATTTGCAAAAATAATACTAATAAATGCAAAATAAATGAATAGATATGCATGTCCATGGGAGCAGAGCACCTGGCTGGCTCCTGGCAAAAACCAGAGGCAAGCCAGGAAGGACCAACTTTGCTCCATTTGCAAAAATAAATAAATGTGGGCAAGTGAGAATGCATTGCTGGACTTCTCCAGTATTTGCAACAATAAGCATCAAGGGTAATACTAGCCCTAATGGAAGGGATTAAAATGCAATTGTAGCCACAAAATGAGACATAGTCGTTACATACCAGATGCAATCTTTACCCAATAATATCTTTACAAAATAACCACTAAATGCAAAAAAAGGCTGACACAGATAATTCAAGATTAAAATTTTCTTACTAAATTATGATTGCATTGTAGATTACTTCACTCCAAAACTGATCAAAAATGGATCACTAGCACTCTGGAATTGTTCATACTTACATGGAATTAAAAAAGAAAGAAAACCATAGAGCATGTTGAACGCATATCTAAGTTATTACCAATAATAACTGATTCATCTAAAGAGTTATCTATATATATCACGTTCTTCACATGTATAAGTCATAATGGATATATATTATCACTTCCCTTATTATGATGATGGTGATGGTGATGACGATGATGATGATGATAATGACAATAATAATAATAGTGATATTAATTGTAATAGTAATAGTAGTAGTAGTAGTAGTAGTAGTAATAATAATAAATACTGTCTCCGTCCCTAGCTACGTTCTTGCCCGTTCTTGGCACAATTATTACGAAAGTGAAGGTGTGTTGAGATTTATTTAGGGCCAGGGCAGACGGAGTATCGGGGGTTGGAACCATCAATTTTTTTATTGAAGCACTTAAATTGCCTCAATTGAACTAATGTCATAATATGACATTGAAACTCATGTTAAAAGATCCGTGCCGTTGAAACAGATGGAGTAAAATGCAGAACTGAAAAGACATGTCAGAGTGTTACCTTAGGAACGAAAGAAGCAAGCCAACACAAGTGCTTAGCATCCAAGCTATAAATCCATACTGCATAAATATTAAGAATTTAAGATTATTGAAAATATAAGCATAAGATAAATTCATTTGTCACTTGAGGTACGGAGAGACCATAGACTTGAAGTGATGCAGTAGGCATGAATCCTAACGGAAAAAGCTAAGTATTCATGAAAAAAAAACTATTACACAATGCCAATCTGGATATCATAGCATCCATCTTAAGAAACAATTATGAATTAAATGTTCTGGAGATATAAATAGAATGAACAATGGTTTACCAACCTTGGTTGCCACATATATAGACCAATAGGAAGCCAAAAAATAAGAAAGAGACAACACAAAATGTAGCAAATTTTATAAAAGCATGATGAGGAGGGATTGAAAGGAAAAATACTTTGCGTGGCTTCGAAGTCATGGCTAGCTCTTCCAGTTGAAGAGACCGAAGGAACGCCAGTATTGAACATATGACAGGAGACAAAAGCAACACCACAATACCAAATTCAAACTGCAGAAGAAGTTTGAAACAATTGAAAAAAGAAAACTTAATTTGTATACAAAACTTTACTGAAATACAAGTAAACTTTCATGCCTGTTGGTGTGCCGCATTTATAAGGTTTATAGTCTCTGGACGAAAAACTGCAACAACCACGGTATCAAGGATGAACACTAAACTGAAAAGAAGCCATGCTCTTTCCGGAGATCCTACTATGTGATGCAAAATCATTCTGCATAGTAGAAGCCACTTCCCTAACCCTTGGTGTCGGAGCTCTTCTGAAAAAGAAATTTGATTAGGAAACACCTGGTCAACACTGTTAGAGTCAATGACTGTCACATTGGTATTGTCACAATGATCTCGATCAGCATCCAAACTACTTCTCTGTAATAATGCAAGGATTCTTGGGTCTAAACCTTTCTCCTTCAGCATAACAGAAAAATTTGGATCAAGTCCTTTATCTTGCAATAAACTAGTAAGTTCAAGATCTCCTTGTCTTGCCTTCCTCTTTAACATCGATGTAATTCTGGGATCATTCAACTTTTCCTGGAAAGAAAGTGTCAAATTCAAGTCAAGCATTTGCTGATTTATCGGAGCTGATGCACTGGACTCACATCCTTGGTTTTCAATGCAGCTACTTGAGCATACTGGCAGAGAATTACGATCAAAATTCTTGTCAACACATGTTGAGCTGCCTACTTCAGGTTCTCGAGCTACTGATCTGCATGAACTACTACGAATTGCTAAACTGGGCCTTCCACTATCCATACTCTTATCACTATTGATTCCCTCAATAGTATTGTAGCTGCTAACATCACCAGTGCAAGATACAGGAGCATTAGAAAGATGACCAGCATCTGCACTACTACTACGTTTCACACTGGATCCACAACCCTCGGAAGAACTAGCAGAGCTACTATGATCTTTTCTGCGGAAACCATTTCTAAGGCGAATAACAGTACTCTGCAGAGCATCTCTTCTTGCCACTGATGGATCTATAGCGGACAAGTGGCGTGAAACAACAGCACATAGAAGCACAGATGCAACAACAACATAACTAGTGCAATGTCCCAAATACCTACAAACAAAAGGAACGGGGCAGCACAACACTTAACAAATAGCTAGTGCAATACAAGCAATAAGAAAACATATATTCCTTGGAGTCTTTAACAAACCAGTAATGAACTCCAAAACATATGAGGAGCACTCGAGACACTCCCGCAAGAATAAGTGCAATGACAGGGCTTTTAAGAAGTTGAAATCCATACAAGCATGCCCCTATATTCCAGTCTGATAAGAATATCCAAAATGATAGTAAGATACAAAAGTAATACGGAGTAAATGGTTATAAAAATCTCTCTTATCTAACTTAGAACTTTCAGGAAAATAAATGGAACATGAAGACATAGCATACCAAGTATAATAATGGCAGTTGATGTTATAGTCGCAAGCCAGTGTGATTCCTTCGCGGTCAGGCCATACAAGATAGAATATGCAAGTAGTACTAAAACTGAGCCAAGGTACAGAAGCCCAAGATGCAAAGCCCTGCAAAGCTGCTTACATGAGAAATCACTTTTGATAGCATGCTTCCAAGTTTAGACGTTATAGTATTTATATAGACTTCTTCAGAAGTTAAAAGAAAACTCCCGCATCAGATTTATAATAGGTCTGCTAAAAGATAGCTAGCAGAACTGATTCATAAAGATTAATGTGTGAGTCATATGTATGCATATATCCTACACCTACAACAACAAAGCCATAATCTATACACACATTGGGTAACTAGAATAAAGTATATGCATGATTGTAACAATATAACATCAAGCTTGACGTTAAATAACAGCTTTACAGAGAGAGACTGCACAACCCAAAATCACATAATAAATATATTACTGTTTTAGATAAACAGATTTAGAGCTTGCCTTCTCGTTTGTCGAGGATATAACTCATTGGGTTCAGGGGGTTCTTGTAAACAAGCAACTGGACCCACTTCAATACAGTCTGAATACGCAAATTTGTATGCCCTCCGCACATATTCATCAACATCTAAGCCATTACCTGATGTGAATGGTAACAAGAATTGCTCAACAATTAGTTTAGAAGTTAAATAGAAGAAGAAATTACACATGTTGAAAAAACAGCAGCATACTCATGGGAAAATTTATGTTTTTAACTGTACTCTAAGAAATGATAAAAGAAAATACAAGTCAGAAGGTTCACTAAAAAGGAGACATAAAAGCCAGGACAGAAAAATTAGTGTTGCTTACCATTAAAAACCATTCTGCAAATAAAGAGCATGTTGATGGCTAAAGCAATTGCTGACACCCCAAAGAAAAAACCAGAAGGTGAATATCTCTCAGATGCACTCACACCAGCTGTGACATACACCGCACAGAGTTCATATGCACAGAGCAACCCAACAGCCAACAAAAGAAGAACAGCTACAGCTCCTGCCCGCCATATTATAAGAATGATAATAATGATTAAGCAATGAAATACTCAAGGGTCTAAGTAAAATCCACACTCAAGATGAATAGGCATCATTCTATAGAACTTTATAACAGAGTACTTTGATCCCGCATTTAGAAAATGTAGATTTGAAGTCATATTCCTATTATAAGAATGTTTATAATGATTAAGCAATGAAATACTCAAGGGTCCTAAGTATAACCCACACTCAAGATGAATAGGCATCATTATGTATCTATAGAACTTTATAACAGAGTACTTTGATCCCGCATTTAAAAAATGTAGATTTGAAGTCATATTCCTATTATGTTTTGCCTTACAAGATGCTCATGTGTATGTGGGATTTTTGTGAACCCCAATTTTTACAGAGCAATATAATCACATAGAAATATTCTGGAAATTACATCCAGAAAGGATAAGTAAAGACAATTGTGCTTGACGAATGCAGTGATCGGCAAGCAAAAATCATTAGACACAAAAGAGAAAAGATATCCACATTATATCAACATTAAATTCATACAAGGATCGTGATTGTGTCAAAAATGCAAAGAGATATCATACACTCATACATACTTGAGCTTTGCCATTGTGTTCTCCACCATAGCATGATTGAGTAGAATGCTAAGAGGATAGCAGTACCACCCATTACCACAGCTAACCCAATTATGTCCCGGCCCAAAATTACAGTGAGCCAGCTTCCCCACATTATAAGGACCACAATTGGTGAGATAACAATCAGCCAAGCAGTAAGAGACATAAAACTACATAAAATTCCCAGCTGGGGACCTTGAAGCATTTCAGGCCATTTTCGGGCAAAGATCCAACTGCATAGGCAATTAAAATATATAAATAAATAAAATAAGGGGATAAGGTTCTCTTAAAATGAGATGAGAGAGGAATAAAGATTTCATTCACATGTTGTTAGCAGTTAGCACAATAAAAATCTCAATTTGGTCGGCTCATTAATCTCCAATGAACATAGAACTCACAAACTTAGATATTACATATCCAAACAAATATTTATCCTTCAGGAAAATGTTTATATTTACACATCTTTTATTTTTATTCAATGTTGTATTTTTTAATGTATACAGTCATCAAACATTGGTAATATTGTCTTTCGATTTGGAAGCTGTATGAAATCCCTATTAGCATGAATCATGGTCATAGTGTGATGAACTTTTTGATTTGCTCTTGTGATGGGACCGTTCCCCAGACTCCTGCTCAGCGGGATGCATTGTGCATCAGGCTGCCCTTTCTTGGAGTCAGACTGTTTGAGTATCCATGTCCTCAAATCCCAGTTTATTTCTCACTGCTAATGAAGTAATGAGTAATGGCCATTACGGCATTACCTAATACTCCCTCCGTCCCCCAGTTTTTGTCCACTTTTGACTATTGGAACTGTTTATCTAAGCACTTTGACTCATCAAATTCTCTCAATGTGTAAGCCTAAATATAGTCATGTGTGATCTTGTTTGATTTGTCTTAACATATATATTATTAATATATAATTTCTATAATTTTTTAATATACAAATTACAAGATAAAATGGATTAAAGAAGTGCATTGGATGGTGTGTAAAAATGAATGTGGACAAATACTCTGGGACGGAGGGAGTAGCAAGTATCAAGGTGATAGTGGTGAACTTGTTGGATATCACTTTCCATGGTTGCTCATTTTGGAAAAAATTAAAGAAATTAGGTCAGTGCTGCCTATTGTAGTTCTATGCTGTTTCGATTAGAGAAGTGTAATTTTATTAGACTTAATTGGAATAAGATAATTTTTCTTCTTTAATTCAAAAAGGCACATTAAACTTCATTTACTTCCTAATCCTACCTTCAATGGAGTTTTGAGTAGTAAATGCAGCAATGCAAGAAGGGTCTAACATAAGCAGCTTCTCTATTTTTAAAATGGTATGGTTGTGTACGTCTTGACCACCAGACCGAAAGGTAACTTGACAGACTGTAGTTTAATGATTAAGAAACCTTTACTGAATTAGGGCTGTACCTACTTTTACTAACAAATGAGACACACACACACACACACAATAAGAGTATCGTCAATAAGACTTTTGAAGTTATCAAATAGGAAATCTTTAATGATTAATCCATCTAACATCAACGCTAGTTCAGTAGTTTGCCATATCTTTAATCTATTTACATATGCATGAGGGCATGGCTATTATTTCTCATCATACTCCATTAATATCTTTGGCATTTATTATTGAAGACTCTGAGTTGCTTGTATAATGCAACAATTAGCACTATTTATCACCAAAAAAATGGATTGTTTATTCTTTTTTTTAGAAAGCAAAGTCATATAATATTTGAAATGTTAATTTTTAATAATTAAGTGTATAAAATTCCCTACTTGAAGAACAGTGAATTAGTTTCATTCACCACTTACAGTTACCTAGAGAAGACTCTGTAACAATCTACGGTTTTTCCTAGAGAAGTCTAGTACCGTCTATAGGTGAATAAAATTTTAAATTTTAATAATTAAGTGAATAAAATTCCCTACTTGTAGAACAGTGAATTAATTTCATTCACCACTTACAGTTACCACAACTAGCCACAATCTACGGTTTTGCCTAGAGAAGTCTAGTACCGTCTATAGGTGATAATGTTAAAATGTGAAATACATAAAATATAAGCCCCTTAATATGGATTCATAGTTGCTGTAAGAGCGTAGCATTGCACAGCATATGGAAAATTGAACATCTGAAAGTAGAAAAGACAAATAAAAAATATGTCACCTATAAATCCGCCATGGTCTCCAATTGACTGCCCAGAGTATCGCAAAAGAAGCAGAGCCCAGCACGAAGAAGAGAGTCCCGGGAATCACACATGCCAACATTAATTTATGCTCATTCTCTTCCATTTTCCAACCTTTATTCTCTCCCCCACTCAGAACTACATTTCAAAACAACGCCTGATGATAAATAATGGAGTTTCTTTAAAACTTCAGCATTTAAGCAGAAAGAAAATACCCTGTGTAACTTCAACTAAACTAAGAAAAACCCATATGTAGAAAGCCTGCAAAGCAATTACGGCACACTTAAAGAAGAAAAAAGGCAAATGATAAATTTCAACTCAATCAAATTAGAATCTTTTCAAAGTGAAAAGCACTGTCCAAAATTTTTGAATAAGAACACCAGATTAAGTCAATAATACATTCAGCGCCCAATCACATATATATTTCAAAAACAGAAAATAAATTGGCTAAAAATGAAATTTCCCCTGAGCTCGTATACTTATTTAGGAAAGTGAGGCCCCGGCAGATGCTGAGAAATATACCAAAAAAAATATAAAACCAAGTGTACTATATAAATCAAGAGTAAAGCTCTATAAATATTCAAGCAGACCAAAACCATAGTTAGTTATATACGGCAAAAGTATAATACGAAAATACGTACGTACGTGTATAATACGTTAAAAATTTATAAAATACGTCTTATTATATGTTTCATACGTACAAAATACGTATACGCATACGTACGTGTATTAAACGTTTCCTAAATATAAAATACGTCTTATAATATGCACATATTTATTCACAAAAAGAAAATAATAAAGTGAATAAAAAACAGCAATCTTGCTTTAAATTGAAATAAATCCAAAAAAGTAAAGCACGTTCATACAATTTCCATGCTAAAAAAATAAAGTCTTAATCGAGCAAATGTTCGGAATGCAAAATAGTCCAGCATCATCCATACCATAAAGTATAAAGTCTTCCACTAGCTACAAAATTATTCTAAAATACCAAATTCAACAAAAACATCATCATCATTGATATAAGTCTCACAAAATATGAAAATCCAACATCATCCATATTCCATATCATTGTCAATGTTAGGATCATCAATTGAATTCTCGTGAGCTTCATTGCTTTCATTACCATTTTGAATATGAGAGTATGACTCTACCTCTCCATACCCAGGCCATTCTGTCAACTTGCTCAAATCAATTAGATCAGAATCTTTAATCATATTTTCCTCAATATTTTGCATCATGAGTGTGTTCAAATAAAGTGGGGATAAGAAATAATCAAAATGGCAAAGATGATAAAAATCCAATATAAAAGAATCGGTAGAAAATGATCTGTAGTCTTTCCCTCTTTATTGTGGGTTAAGTTTTTTACCTTTGAAGGCTATTTTAAAGCTTTTGGGCATCAATCCCTGCACTTAAAATCCTAATCTACCCTTTTTATTGTTTTTGGCCTTTTTAGACCATGAACAGTAGTCATCTCTCATCATCACCCCTTAGTCCCTTACAGACACAATCCTGAGCAGTACTCCATTACTACTACAACTTATTATGGATGAAGCGATCACTTGAGTAATTGAATTTGAACTATGAAATCATCCAAATGCTGAGTGGAGAATGCAATTTGAAACTATACAATTGAGATTTGAGAGTTGAGAATTGAATCTTCATACTCAATTCAAAAAAGAAATTAAATGATAAAAATTATGAAATTAGGTGTGGGAATTGGGACTTACCGCTAGTGGCTACGGCAGAGCACTGCCATCGGGATTGCTGCTGTGCTGGAGTCCTGACTCCACCTACGAGGAACTGAAGGAGGACGACTGGACGAATTGATTGCAAATTTGCCGGAACTCCTGCAGCGGGAACTCTTGCAGCGGGAACTCCTGCGGCCAATACTCGATAGAGAGAGGGGACGAGGAATTGGACAGGAGCGGATTCTCTGGTCTATTTAGAGCCTTGGGAAATCGGAAAAGGTTTAGGTTAAATTATTTTTTTTTATTTTTTCTTATTTTTATTAAAATCAATTCAGATCAGACCTGATCATATCAGATCGAATCAGATCAAATCAGATTAAATCGAATCAGATCAGATCGAATCAGATCAGATCAGCACTTATTAAAATCAGATCTCATCAAGAATTATTATTATTATTATTATTATTATTATTATCATCATCATCATCATCATCATCATCATCATCATCATCATCATCATCATCATCATCATCATCATTATTATTATTGTTCTTAAAAATAAAAAAGAATAAACTTTAGAAATAGGTTAAACAAAAAACTGAGAAAGTAATCCTTAATTATTAGACGTCGAAAAAATTAGTTTTTAAAATACATTGCTAATGTCAATCTATATCTACTTGACTTTCTAAACTTTTGATCTTTTATAAGGATGAGATATTTTAATAAAAATACTATCTCTTCTATATATTGATGATCTAAATTTAATTAATTTTTAATGTATATTTAAATTAAATATTTATTCTAATGTATACTTCTAATTTTACAAAAAAATAATCATAAAATAAAAAATATTATTACATTATAATATGAATGATTATTCTAATAAATGAATTAACTATTTTTATTTTATTAAAAAATAACCATTAAATAAAAAATATTGATTATATTATAATATGAATTGTCATTACAATTTTCACATGTTATTATAAAGTTAAATTAAATTATTGATTTATAGTGTTGTAGTATGCAGTGAGTGTTTGTAGTTGGAAGTTACATCTGTCTAGACGGTTGTTTTGGTAATAAAGTGTGTGTTTTATGTGCAAAAAAAAATAAATTATTGATTTGAAATTTTAAATTAAATCATAATTAATCAGATTAGACCAGATCAGATCAGATCAGATCCAACCAGATTAGATCAGATCCAATCATATCAGATTAGATCCAATCAGATCAGATCAGATCCAATCAGATCAGATCAGATCAGATCAGATCAGAACTTATTAGAATCAGATCAGATCAGAAAAAATAAGTTGAACGGAACGGAGCCTTAAGCAGGGAATCAGTAAAAAAATGTGTATAATACGATTAGGCTTAAAATACGCGTATTTTAAAGTATTTTATAAACTTGTACGCATACGCAAGTATAATACCTGCATTATACGTGTATTAACTAACTAGGACCAAAACAAGGGTTACCCGCTTCTTTCCTAGCTAAGGATCACAAAACACCGTCATTTCTAAAGCCGATTCCAGCTGAAAGCTTGACTCCTCGAGAAAATACAGAAACCTTGAAATTCAAGATTGCAGGTGAAGAAGACAGTGTCCCTGTGAGTTTAGGGAGAGGATTTCAAAACCCTACTGGGTGCTTTTTGGAAAGGGAGAGAAGAGTAAAGTTGGGAGTGTGGAATGAGGATTTATATTTCTTGAAATGTATGCGGTTGTTAGGCCCAGTTCCGTTCAACTTATTTTTTCTTATTCTTATTAAAATCAAATCAGATCAGATCAAATCAGATCAGATCAGTTCATATCCAATTAGATCAGATTAGATCCAATCAGATCAGATCAGATCCGATCAGACAGATCAGGACTTATTAAAATCAGATCCCATCAAGAATTATTATTATTATTATTATTATCATCATCATCATCATCATCATCATCATTATTGTTAAAAGAATATAGACTTTGGAAATAGGTTAAAAAGAAAATTGAGAAAGCAATCCTTAATTATTAGACGTCGGAAAAATTAGTTTTAAAATACATTGACAATGTCAATCTAATTCTACTTTTAAAATATATTTTTATTGCTACTTGTAATTTGAGTTTCTAAAGTTTTGATCTTTTATAAGGATGAGATATTTCAATAAAAATATTATCTCTTCTCTATATTGATTGTCTAAATTTAATTAATTTTTAATGTATATCTAAATTAAATATTTATTCTAATGTATATATGAAGTAATTATTAAAATATTAAATTAATATTCTAATTTCACAAAAAATAATCATAAAATAAAAAATATTATTACATTACAATGTGAATGATTATTCTAATATATGAATTAATTAATTTTACTTTATTAAAAAATAAACATTAAATAAAAAATATTGATTAGATTATAATATAAATTATCATTACAATTTTCAAATGTTATTATAAAGTCAAATCAAATTATTGATTTGAAATTTTAAATTAAATCATAATTAATCAGATCATATAAGATCAGATCAGATCAGATCAGATCTAATCAGATCAGATCCAATCAGATCAGATTAGATTCAATCATATCAGACCGGATCCAATCAGATCAGATCAGAAATTATTAAAATCAGATCAGATCAGAAAAAATAAGTTGAACGGAACGGAACCTTAGTAAATACTGCGTATAATTATACTACTCTGGTTATTTGTGTGAGTGGGTGAGCTGGCCGTGACAAGTCCCGGCGCGTGCTACGCAACGCCTCAGGTGAACGGGGATCCGAACGTTCGGAGTGGAGAGAGTGAGAGCCACGACCGCGTGCTGAACGTGGGGGTGTGGGAGATTGGGAGGAGGACTTTCTGACTTTACAACGCTAGATTTTGGACGCTAAAGGTCCGTTCCGTAAGACTTATTTTTTCTACTTATTACTTATTCTTATTAAAATCAGATCAGATTAGATCAGACCTAATCAGATTAGATCAGATCCAATCAGATCAGATCAGATGCAATTAGATCAGATCAGATTCAATCAGATCATATCAAATCAGATCAGACCAGATCCAATCAGATCAGATCCAATCATATCACACCAGATCCAATCAGATCATATCAGACTAGATCAAATCTAATAATATCAAACAAGAAAAAATATAAAAAATAATATTTATATTTTTCAAGTATTAAATAATGATTACTATTATTTTATTAAATCACATTACTTTATTTAAAACAAAACACACAAAAATCTTAATTAATATTATAATTTTAATTATTATTTTTGTTTTATTATTATTATTATTATTATTATTATTATTATAATATTTCAACTACAAACCATTATTTTAAATAATTGCTAAGCTTGTAGGATAGAAATGCTGCATGGAAGCAATGTTAAAGCTTAAAAATTTGTATTTTTTATACTTTAAAAAGAATTATTTTGAAATACTTGTTTATAAAATAATAATACAAAACTTGGTTTTCAAAACCATA